TTGGGAGCATGCTCTTCTTGTCCCATCGACGTTTGTAATTGTTATAGTTACTCGTCCATTGATCGAGACTTTCTTGCAGAAGTGGAACCCATAAGTAAATAAATAAAAGACTTTTGATGCATGCAATGTTGGTCAGTTTATTACCAAACCAGAGAAGCTGTGGCTAAATAAACTTACTGCTCAACAGGATCTTGTGGATCATAGTACGATTCCTCCTCCGCCCGAAAGAGTTGGTTTATTAGCTCGCTGTTGTATTGCTTCATTAACTGCGACCATAGACACTCAATCTTCTGATTGTGGGTGCTCTTGGTGAACAGGTGTGACTGAATCGGATCTGGGCAGTCTGCATTGAACGATTCGGTGAGGTTGATCTGGTGGCCAGCCATGTGGATTGTTTCGGTTCCCCTGTCAGTAGATGTTCGGCGAGGTATGCCACCTTCACGTTTGACAAGCTCGAGATAGTAGTATCCAATGTGTCGGGGGTTGTTGTTGGTGACATGAACAAAGATTCCCAAAATTTTCCGGCTCCAAGCATCGATAAAACCATAGAGAGTGATCCCAAACTTCTTGAGTTTGTCGTGGCCATCGGCAGACCAAATGAAGTTCGGGCCGGGGGTGTTGAACACGCGACGCTTCAAAACCCTTTTTGATCGGTTATCAACACCTTCAGGATCAAGGGTACGGTTGATCAATGCAACTGTGAGACTTCATTCCAAACAAAGAAATATCAGAAATAATTCCACGGGATTATAATAACAGAGAAGACATAACACACTTATGAATGTTGAATCCATATTTCGTCTGTAACAATTGTCGCATCTTTCGGTAACCAACGTTCCGGCCTTCAGGGGTTGGATGAATTTCCTGAATGCAAGAGACGATCGTATCAATGTCAACCTTGTTGTTGTCCAAATCGTCAGTTCGCCGTGTCAGGTTCATGGATTTGATCTTCCTTTTGAGCGTTCGAAAAGATTGAGTATAGTCGTGACTTGTTGTTAGAGCATGGTGGATTTGTGAATATGACAATCCTCGTTCAAAGTAGGTTTGGATGTGGTCTTCAAGCTGATTGGAATGTTCAGTGGCTTGAAGTATAAGTCCCCAATCTTCCTTCCTTCGTGTGAGTGTTCGTTTAGAGACGGATATGCCGTGCGTGTCTTGAATATGTTTGCGGATTTCAGCGTCTGTCAGGCCAGATTCAACTAGAAGAGAAACCTCAGCCTCGAAATCGTCACCAAAAGATCGCATTGAGGCACGCATGATGGATGGTTGGTGTATGTAGTAATCTGGTGGGGTGGTCTTGAGTTGTTGGTGTGTGATCGAGTGGTTGGTGTGTGTCAAGTGGTTGGTCTGGTAGGGTCAGCAGTTGGTGAGAAGAGTGTTTCTTGAGCTCGGTTGCCAGCTGATTCATCGGTCAAAGAGCTGTGGTGTATGTGTTATGTGTTGAGGATGGTAGGTACTTTGGCTCCAGGGAGCTTATCACATAGTTTGTATGTATTGGAATGTTTGAGATGTATTGTCAGGGTGTATGACATACATGTCAGATCCACTTGGCCAACTTGGCGGTTGGAATCACTCATATTTGTTTGAAAATTGGGTTTTTCATTTTTCATTTTTTTTGGCCAAAGTGGCTGTTCAGTACCTCCATATTTCAATGTTGTTTTTTTGTTCATCAATTGAGGAAAGATCCAATTTTAGGTTTCCAGAAAAAGAAAGCATGAACCAGTCAAACCACTTCATAAGTTTATTCTGTTCTTGGAAATAATGAGCAGTTCCTTGAGGAGCACCAATTATCTCAAGCACCCTAGCATTGTAACACCAAAGGAGAGAGGCAAGTCTCAATATTGAATTTTGATTCAATCCGGGGGCAGATGTTTGACCAACAGTGTGTAGGTTTGGGTTCTGATAGCATTGATTATCCTTAGAGCATGATGGTTTCAAAATATCCAACATTGGTGTTACATAGCGATTGATCTCCGCTCGTACTGGGACATTTTGTGATATGATCACAGTCCAAGCCCAAAAATCCTTACTAACACCCTCTGGTTTGAATTCCCTAATGAAACTTTCCATCTTTACAGGACTTGATCTTATTGAATTTTCCGCACCTGCTGTGGAGCTTTGCTGAGGTATAGAACTTGGGTCTTCATGGTTAACTATGCTCGTTTTTTCTTGGGAAGTTTTCTGTAAATTGATTTCGTCTTAGAGAACAGAAAGTGTTATGTTAGAATGTATGTACCTATTTTCCTCTACATTTCCATTTGGAAATTATACAGCTATTTCGGAAAGGGTTGTCCACTTGGACTCGCGAAATCTTTTTTATTTTTTTATTTTTTTTATTTTTTATTTTTTTACTGAACTGGACCTGTCAGAACTGAACTATCGATGACAGCTGTACCTCCTCGGCTGTAGTTCAGTACAAAGAAAAATTTAAAAATTTTCAAAAAAAAAAAAAAAAATTTGAGAGACAACTGGACAACCCTTTCCGAAATAGCTGTATCAATTCACAAAACCTTTACCATTGGGACCCTGCTCATGTAGTTTAGACTCTGATGGACTTGGGAAGATCTTGGGCCTGTCTTCATTCACATGAGGTACCCTGCATGAATTTGGATCTTTAACTAGTTTCTTGGATGCATGCTTGTAAATTTCTTCATCTCCTTTGGACTGGACGCCCGGTTGCTCAATTAATAATCTCTTCCTTTCTTGGCTAGAGCCACTGGAGATAGAAGGTTTTTCTGAAATCCAAGACGGTTCTCACGTTTCAATCGATCGTGCCAAAAACTGGAGATAAATGAAAAGTGACAGAGCTCGGCATACCCAAAAAGTTTGAATTCTCCAGTGGTACTATCGTTGTGGGTGCTTGGGAAGGCGAAATGCCACTTGTCTGCAATGCATCATTGGCCGAATCTCGATGCAACTGTAACAGAGATGAATGTTGGTGATTAGCACCAACCACACCAAGCTGTCTTGGTCCTTCTGAGACCTCATTGGCGCCGGCTTTGGGATCTAAACCAAAGCTTCCTAAGACTAAGTGGACGTGAAGCGAGGCCACAAGTGTAAAATGGAATAAACTCGGCGTCTTTCTCAATTGAAATGCTAAATCGCAAAATTTTTGAGAGACTGATGGGGAAAAGTTAGAATAGTCTACTTGTTTACGCCTCTATAGGATTAGACGTTAACACATAAACCTGAAGTTTCAATTTGGTTTATTTTGGTTCTCGCTGAGACTTGATTTGGTGGCAGTATGGTGTATTCAACGAAGCAATACCTAGAAATCTGCTATCAGGCAAGGCAAACGCTTCTGTATTGATCCTCAACTCTCCTTTGCATTTCGTTGAAGCGCTAAACTGCTCGTTACATCAGCATAAGACTTCTAACTTAACCAAGTCCCTCCTTATTCGCCTCCACCCTCCTTCGGAGGGTCGCTTCGCGACGAAGGGGGACTTAGCCAAGTTTGATAAGACTTGATCTGATGGATTGGACAGAATCTGATGCTGATCGACCCTCGCAGTGCTGCAGTCCAGGTGATACCCATCAGCAGACCGTTATCGTGACTTGTTTTGGCAAAGGCTCCTCGCATTGTGAAATGTTTCTGTCAAGCCTGCCGCCTAGGTTCAGCCTCTACATGCGATAGGCCAAGGTTTGTAAGTCTAGATGCCTGTAAATGTAACAAATCGTAAAACCTCATTGACTCACTGTACCGAAGCTGAACAGCTTTGAATAGCGACAGCTTTGAATAGCGACAGCTCTTCAGCGATGTGAAGGATTTACCAACTGCCAAGGGGGGCAACTTGCTGGACTCCAAATGATCAGTCAGTAGAGCAATTCCATCGAGAATGCCTGTGTTAGAGAGGATTAAATGGCAGGCAAGATCATGGCAATGACATGGCCAGACCAATCTTAGGACTGTTCCTTCTTCCTCCACCCAGGAATGACAGCAGGGGGGAGAGGGGGCAAGACGTGCTGCATATGGATTATCATTTCAAGTATTCTTAATAAGCACGTAATAACGCGTCAGTTGTCTTCCTCATAATCATAGCAGATCCATCGCACAAATCTGAAGCGAATCATGAAAGCAACCCACCAACAGACAAGAAAGAAACCAACACACTAGGATTTTTTTTTTTTTTTTTAAAAAAAAAAAAAGAAGCGGGAAAAATGCCACGCAGTAGAGTCAACAAAAAAGAACAGAGACCATGCCTAATGTATCATCTGTTCCAAAAAAAAAAAGATTAATTTGTTTATCCATATACGAATCGGACAAATCAAGTTGTTTATGATGCAAGAGAAAGTCAAATATTCACACAGCAGAAGATGGGGCAAATGTCCAGCTAATTAAAGAAAGCCAACTATTTGACTCATTCTAAGGAAAACGAAACATGCTACAAGAGGAAGTGATGACGATGATGGTGATGGTGAACTAAGGAAAGAAGATGGGAGTGAACAAGTGAGAATGAGTTCGGGCAGGCGGACAATGGAGTGTTCGGTTTACGGTCTTGCTCGGATTCCTTCGACAGACGCAGTAGGATAGAGCAACGGGCTGGCTGAAGAGTTGAGATGATCTGACGAATACTCGACCTGCTCTAAATCCAGCGAGGATTTTCTTAGTCGACCTGGGTCTTGATTGATGAGTGAAATTGAGCTTTATGAGATGGGTTGGTGGGCGCTAGACGGCAAGGTTTTAGCTCGGATGATTTGATTTAATAAGTGCTGGATTGTCGAATCCTGTTTTTGGAGGCTTGGAGTTGGGACCGGTGTAGGAGATAGTGGATCTGCTAGAGTGGGGGGGAGGGCTAGTGGAATGTGAAGAAGCATGCCGAGGTGGGAAAGGAACCCTTGAAAGTTTTCAAAAGATCTTGTCTCGCTCATCGGCCTCTTTCGAATCATCACTCAGATTATGGGCCATCTAACCGTCGTGATAACGATATCATCCGATTTCAGAGGTGCGTCCGGGGAAGCCAGCCCATGTGGGTGATTACTTGAGCACCTGATGCTGTCGATCAATCTCGACTTAAGCCTTCTCTCCCTCCCTTAGCGACCCAACCGAAGTTATACGTGATGTTGTTGGTGGTGGTGGAGGGGAGATGAACCTGTTGGACGGATGGTTTGGAGTACAGTTCGAGTTGGTTCTTGATCCGTCTGAGCTGATATTCGATCGACTCGTAGTCTCTCTTCAGGAACGATTCATTCATCGTTTGGCTCCTGAACTGATTCGAGATAAATTTAAACCAGTTTTTCCTGTGGATCTGTGTGTGTGTCGTCGGTCAATAATTTTTTTTTTGGCAACGCGTTGATTAGTCCATTGGTCCAACTCATCTCAGGGAAAGTATTTCAATCAGATGCTGATGTTTTACTCACCAATGGTTTGGTTGAGATCATCTTCAAGCTTTCCCGATAGCATTCCCTGAATTGGCGCTGTAGGCCACTGGTAAGTTTCTTACCACTCATCTTGAAGGTTCTGATCCGTCGAACGTTTTCTTCTCGACTTTCCCGGGTACGATGATCGAAAGTCGTTGTTGTATTGAGGCTGGATGGTCAATAAGTGGTTGGTCATTCTCCATGGTTGGTTTCTTGGCTCATGTATGCACCCTACTTGGTATTACGTAATCCCTCTGGCTGGTCCCCCCACGGCCACTGCCCAGCTTAATGTTACACCCTCGAGACCATCGGTCATGGATCGCCATCTTCAACAACAACATCATCGTCGCAGGATCAAAGTAAGCTGTCTTCAACTCATTTCCTCCATTCAAATTGATCCATTCAAAAGACTGAAAATTCACCATTTTACTCCAGTGACTACCATCAAGCCCTTCGAACTACCCTCCCAAGAGTATGAAGAGTTCGACCCATCAGCAGGTTGAACCCCAATTGCCTCTACTTAAAACGACATACTCGTATTGACATTGTCATGCATATCTCCACCTTCAACAAAAGTCTTGGCGTTGGCTTGCGCAGGCGTCTCCATGGTCCTCCAACAACACATCTTGGCCTGGCTGTCCTTATTTTTCTCCGTCACTTCGATCGTCAATAACACTAACCGAACCGGACGACCAAGCTCAATGAGCCCATTGCAAGGATTAATGTATGTAAAGTCATCACCTCCACCACTCTTCTCTTTATTCAGTATTAACATCCCTTGCTTAAACTTCCACATCCAGGTTTTCTGTCTTGGCTTTAACAACACTATGTAGGACATCGCTCTGATCTTGTTTCCTCTCATCTTCCACTACTAACTCGCTTCATTTTTTTCATGCAAAAACGATCGAACATACTAATTTACACTGTTTACCTTCAACAGACACAAAAAGATTGATTGATCCGACCTTAGTGTGAACCGCTGGATCCCCGATTGAACTTGTGAAAAGAAATTTAATCTTGTGTTTATAATAGATCAACCCTCAAGGGATACTATCACTATACAAAAGTGAACCGCAAACCACGAATGAATTTTCTTCATTGCGAACAGAGCTTCTCAATGGGGGATTTGTTTCCCATATAAGCTGCAGTTTATAAATGCAGTCTACAAACGAGTGCGTAACTCAATCCATGGGTGTTCCGAGCATACGCATTGCAGCATCTTCAACAGAAGCAGGTCCTCTCCCTCTGCCTCTAGAGATCATTTCTTCCTTCAAGCGTCTTGTGTCCAATGGCCAAAAAGGTTGGTCCATGAGATCTAGGAATAGCCCGTGGGTTTGAGGTTTAGATCTGAGCTGAGTGTCTTTGAAGTTCAGATACCAGCGCTCTTGGCACCAAGATTGCTGATCCGGCCAGTCGTTGAACTCGTCAGGCCGGACCCGATGGCCCTCATGAACCGCCCATTGCTTGGTCAGGAAGTCCAAATGGTTCCGGATCTCGATCTCAAATGGAAGCAGCTCCTCGAGCAACTCCGGCTCTGCCTCATAATCCGTAACTACCCATAAATCTTTGAACAATCACTCAATTGTTAGCTGTCTAGACTCCAAGTCTTTTAATCCATATCATTATGGCCTCCCAATCAAATCAATCTTCATCCGATCCTTCTGCAATCACAGCCACACCCACCAACACCAATATTCCCCAAATCGATGACAACCACAAATCAAAAAAAAGAAAGTCAACCAGCAAGGTTTGGCAGCATTTCACTAAGGATGAGAAGAAGGACAAACAAGGCGAAGTGAAAGCAGTCTGTAATTACTGTAAGGATCAGCTTTCTGGAAAGTCCACTTCTGGTACTGCACATCTGTGGAAACACTTGGACCGCTGCAAGACTTATCAAGATGCCAATCGATCATCCAAGCAGTCATTGCTCTTGGTCAAAAATGAAAGCATGACTCAAAACTCATGGCAGTATTCTGAAAAGAGAAGTAGAGATTTGCTTGTCAAGATGATTGCTGCACACGATTGCCCGTTTAGGATGGTTCAGCACAAGTACTTCAAGCTGTTTGTCAAATCGCTGCATCCACACTTCAAGTTGAGATCTCGCTTCACAGCAAAAGACGATTGCATGGCCCTCTTTCAATCCATGAAAGGCAATCTTCTCAAGGAAATTCTACAAGCTAAGCGTCTTGCTCTGACAACTGATCTCTGGAGCTCTCGAGACGCAACTGGTTTTTATATGGTCATCACTGCGCGCTTTATCAATGAAGCCTGGGAGTTGGTGAAGCACATCATCTCGTTCAAGGAATTGGCCTCACCTCACACAGGTCCTGCTATTGCCGATCGACTGGTTCAAAGCTTGGTTGAATGGAAGTCTATAACAAAGTGTTCTTTCATCACTGTAGACAACGCTTCATCAAATAATGTGGCTGTGACCCGTTTCCAAATGATAGTCTCCAACCGTAGTCCAACAGCTTTAGAGGCTGATGGAAAGTTCTTCCATGTTCACTGTGCTGCCCATATAATCAACTTGATTGTTAAAGATGGGCTTTCAGTGATGCTCGATGCAGTCCAAAAGCTTTGTCAATCAGTCAATCCCGAGTTCAGCTATTCAAGATTGCAATCAACACTGCCAATATCAGCAACGGTGGGCCAGTTACACTAAACGTAGTGTTAGTGCAGCGTAGTGTTAGCTTTTTAAGCTACACTACACAAAAGTTACTGTTAGCGTGAATTTTTGGCCCACTAACACTACAGGATTTTTGAAAAATCAAAAAAAAACTTTAGCATAGTGTTAGCTACCTTTAAAAAGGCACAACTAACACTACCCAAAATGCTGTTAGTGAAATTTTAGCGGTGTTAGTGGGTGAACCTTAGTGTAACTTTTTGCAAAGTTACACTAACAGTTAGTGTAGTGGTACCCTCAGTTACACTAACTTAGAGATGGCGCTCGATACCCGGGTACCTGTAGCGGGTGCGGGTACCTGCCTCAAAAATGCAATATTTTTGACACCCGCACCCACACCCGCACCTGCTAGGGGCGCCAGGGGCGGGTACCCGGGTACCTGCACCGGGTACCTGCGGGTACCTGGCACATATATGCAGGCAAATATACCCAGAAATCTCACCCTTGAATTTCTGCATGACTTACCAAATGTGTGATTGATATTCACTAGATATATGAGTAAGAACATAAAAATAAAGAAATAAAGAAGAACAAAATATCCTATCACTAATTTGCACTTTATCTTCTCTCTGATCTATCATCTTGAAGGCTGGAGGGTTCCCTCTGGCCTCAACAGGCCCATGTAGGACACCAAATGGTGTCCTACATAGTTTGCTGACACCTTTGTGCAGCCCAAAAAGCCCAAAACTGTATTCCCAGGGCGGGTGTCAGGGCGGGTGTCAAGGCGGGTACCCGGGTACCTGCCGTTTTTTGTCCCAAAACTCAACACCCGCACCCGCACCCAGCACCCGCGGGCGGGTACCCGCTCCAAAGAACAGGTACCTGCAAACGGGTACCGGGTACCCGCAAGCGGGTACCCATTGCCATCTCTACACTAACTGTTAGTGTAACTGGTGAAAAAGTTACACTAACTGTTAGCGTAACTGATTAAAAGTTACATGACCACATGACTAGCATTAGTATACCCTGAAGACAGTGCCTGATTGGGGGGCCTACATCCAGATCCCCTCAATTGATCATCATTTTTTATCAGTTGGTAATGGGGGCCACTCAATTTTAGCCCCCTGCCAATTTTTAACACTTACTTGCAAGACCACATTCCCCTGTCAGACTACCTTGAGATTATGGGTTCAATTCCCCCTCAGACCATACTTTACTGGGTTCCATTCCCACACTTTTTCAATTTCCACTTTCACATCATGTAGCAAGGGGGGGGAGGTTGAGGTGTAACCATGATGAATCACCAGAGTGTGGTGGAGCTGTTGGCATGAACCATGGCAACTACCACCCAAATAACCTTACAACCACAAGGGTCTGTAGCCTATTTGGTAAAGGAAGCACTCTGGTATGTGACTCAGCATTGCTGAGGTTGTGAGTTCAAATCTCACCAGGCACATCCTCCGTTTGTTTGTCTCTGCATCTTGTGCTGTTCATTTTCTGCGGGATTGTGTGTGATCAAAGGACATTGAAAATTGTCACTATGGACCTCGGCCGTATCAGTTATATGGACAGTTCACACAACTTGTCCATTTAAAACAGAAAGCAGAGGAAGAGGGTTCAAGAGTGTCAGCTGGCAAGCAAAACCAAGTTACCCCTTAGCGTGCCAACTTACAGTTTTGCTACACCAACTGCACTTTTCATACATTTCACACTCATTTCACTCATGTTCTTATTCATTTCACTCATTTCATTATTAACATACTCTACATATGCTTGTATCTAGTTGTCCTTGCCAAACTGGATATATAAAGTTGTACGGACTGAAGTCTATTGTTCCCCAGACTTTCAGAAGAGACAAAAATAATACCAACCTTTTATTTTAATCATCCCTCTTGAGTTTGAAGACACATCAACAAATCACTGCTTCAAACTTGCCTGTTCCCTTCACATCACCACATCACTGTCTGGATCCTCCAGCCTGAACTTCTCAAAACTTATCAACGGCTGGGCGTGAACACCTTGGACCGTATTAGACTCTTTCTACGACTTGGAGCCACTGGTCAACACCAGTAAACTTCCATCGAGCAGATTCTAATCACCACGGAGTAACCCACCGCTGACAAAGAGCATAAATTCTCACTTGACATGTCAATTTCTCTAATTGATGATTTACACTACACTACATGTGTAGTGTAACTTCTACTGTAGCGTAGCGTAACTAGGCATGTAGTGTAGTGTAGCGTAGCTTAATTTGGTATAAGTTACACTAAATGTTAGCTTCAAATCAGTTACACTATCTGACAGTCAAAATTTTGTTAGCGCAAAAAAAGTTACACTAACTGTTAGTTTAGCTGAGATTATTTGAAGCTAACACTACCAAAAAATTTGAGAGAAAAATTTACACTACACTAACAGTTAGTGTAGTGGAGTTTAGCGTCAGCTAACACTACAGAATCTCCAGGAAATAAAAAGGCCACTACACTAACAGTTAGTGGTCAAATAGCGTAGTGTAGCGTAGCGGCCCACTGTTGATATCAGTATGAATTTCCTAGCATCCAAGGATGTTGCAACCCGTTGGAACTCAACTTTACTTATGATCAAATCCAGTCTGCCGTTCCGAGAGGCATTTGAAAACCTCGCTTCTGCGGATTCCAACTATGAAGATTGCCCAAGTCCTGAAGAATGGTCACAACTAGCTTTGATGAAGGACTTCCTTGAGTTATTCTACAAGAGTGAGTTCTGAATGCAATCAGTCAGCACGTCTCTTGGTTGTTATTCTTACTGATGTTACTCTCCTCAAAACATTTCAATATGTAGCTACTGTTTATTTATCAGCTTTGAGGTATCCCACCTCTCATTTGATATTTAAATAGATGAAGAATATTGAGCACCACTTATTGAACGGACACACATCTACTAGTAGTCACATTCAAAAAATTGTTGACCCCATGCTCACCAAATTCTACAAGTACTGGGTAGAAATGAAGGTCTTTGCCGCCATCACACTGGTCTTTGACCCTCGCTCAAAGATGTCTTATGTTGAATTCAAGTTAGAAGAAAACCCTGGCGAGATCAAGAACGTTGTGAGAACTCCTTTGGGATGGGTTGGCAGTCCTTGAGGGGGAAAATAACAACATGATATTTTACTAGGTAATATTTACTGTTACGGGTGGTTTGAAAGACCTGCCCGTCTATTTACTACACAAGAATTCTGACAACAATTTAATTTATTGTTGTGGCGTAACTTTATGATGGAAAAAACTTATATGTAGTAGTCTCTATCAGACCTAGATCAGTATGTAATACAATACAAGATGTTTGTACAACCTTTACACGGTGAGTATGAGTGTGA